AAAAAAAAAAAAAAAAAAAAAAAAAAAAAAAAAAAACAACTTGAACACAAGAACACACTGGATGCTGCTAGTTCGAGCACCCGTCAAAACGAAGGCAGGCACACACTCAAAATAAAAATAATTTCAAAAACAGCCTGCAAACTCACTTCAAGAACCGATATTTATTTAAAAACACAAAACAGAACATCTCTAGAACGATACCATTTATGTATTTTCTTACACAAATACATAAAACACTGAAGAACAGTGAAAAAAACACTGATCAGGTGGCCATTTTGATGTTGAAATTACCCAACACAGGAAACCTAGCAAAGCTCAGCAGCGTTTCCAAGATACAAGCAGAAAATAACACAAAACAGTCACAGACACCTCTCTATAATGGGGACTTAGCAAGGCTAATTTAGCCTCAATAACGCCAACATTTATACGACAGGAACAAAAGATAGCAGCTTTTTCGGTTAGCCTGACGTTATGTAAACAAGCTCCTATGTAAATAAACGTATGAAGGGGCAGTTTGACTCAACTCCCCTAAATATAGCAAACTGGACAAAGAAACCACATTACAACAGGGGGTATCGATGCAGTCTTATCACTGCAGGTAGATTAAAGGAGAATATAATACGAAGAATGCAACGCCAGCGTCTGTAGGACTGTTGCTATAATTATTCAAACGTAGACACCAAACTATTTGGTACATATTGTGCTGGAAAAATTCTGAAAGAACCTGAGAACGATCTGATTGGCTAACACAGTTGTCCGATAAGCGACTGAAGGTTCGCAGGCAAAATGTTGTTTACACAAAACATTAGCAATTCACAGTGGATGCCCTTACTGTTTAGGCTTACAAAGACTAATATTAAACCAACAGCAGCATAAATAGCTCACACACATGAATAACATTTCCGCATACACCACATGACGGTACATAAATGGTTGTTATGATCAGAAAAAGGATACAGTTTCACCACATCGGTGTCCATTCGCCTTTTACCCGGACTTGGAGACGACATTTTTTGCTATTTCCACCGCAAAACACCAGAAAGTAAGCCGAAAGCCAGCACCCGAAACGCTGGACAGTCTAGCAAACGGTACTATCCGAAAGTTAACATTTGCTTTAAAAGGTAACCTCGTTCAAACGTCCTCACTGTTAAATGCCTCTGAGCTATACGTTCGAGATCTCCTCCGTACATCTCACCATGGTTCTGGTTCTAACAAGTCAGGATCCCTCCGCCAATTACGTCATATATGTGCGACCGAACACCACCATTTACGGCCATGTTTGTAGTTTTTTTTAYAACTAAAATAGGGTTTCCCTTTAAATTTAAATTCTTCAATTAACAATTTTTAAAATATTATACCTACTTAAGGGTCATTATGTAACAACCATGAAATAAACAAATACAGTGAACATAATGAGCACAAATCAATACAGAAAAACTCCAAATGATAACACATTTAGAGAATTTTATTAGCATGTCGTTTCTTCATGTGACCTCTTCACAGCATAACTGCTCATTATCAAGCCCTGCAACTGAGACAAAACTCCTGTTTAAGGCATTTAAATAAATATGAATACAAGCATCTAAAGTTTACTTCATAGTAACTGTTGTGGTACTACTCTGTGTCAGGCTGACTGCAGTTTTAGAGAACAGCTTCACTTAAATGTGAAGTGATCTGGTAAAWGACCCATCAGTATAATGTGGAGATAAAATATAAAGTAGTCTATTAGATAAGCCTTTCCAGTATATGTAGGAACATGGGAARTGTTCTAACACAGGGTTTTATGACCACTTTTTAAATACTAATAATAACCATTTATATAAAACCAATTTCCAAGAAACACTCTGTGTAAATGT